TGTCGAACGAGTCCTCTTGATGAGCACTCATTCCTCCATCGATGGCTTGGAGGAAATGACAACAACTTACCATTGAGGTGGTTGGATTACTCGACACTTCCTTGAGTCCAAGTTCGCATAGTAGTTAACTTCATCCATTTTCTCTAGGGCCTTTGCAAGCTGATGGGCCTTGCGTTGGCATTATCTCTGACGAGCCCTCTTCATTAGAGTTGGCGAACTTGTGTTTGGCCACTTCTTGACTGGGGAGGAGTCGTTATGAGTAGAGTTTTCGGCTTTGTTGGTTGCCGGAGGAGTGTTGCCAGGGGAAGCCTCAAGAACTATTGGGCGAGAGTCACACCCATAGACTTCATTAGAATTGAAGACTGAAACACCTTCTTCGTGGACGAGATCCTCCTACACTTACGGGGAGAGGAAGACTTTGATGAAGATGAGCAGAGATACTCCTCAAACTTGGCCTGGTCGAACTCATACTCGACCGTTGAATCGATCAGAATCTTGATCGGCTGTGACACGACANTTGGCCCCCACCGTGGTCGCCAGCGTGTTTGTGTCAGGAATAATTTTCATTGTAGCTTTCATTAAATCATTTAATAGAAACAAAAGAATGAGCCTTACACATGTAACACTTTTCTTTACAACAAAAAAACCAAATCATGGTGTTTCCTAGAAACACACACAGAAACTCCTACGTAGTAGCTTCTGCTTTCGTGGGATATTTGCCTATGTCAAGGATGCGTAATCTGTGGACCACCAAATCAACGTTCCAAGCCAAAAACGAAGAAGGTTGAAAGTTAATGTTTCAACGTGGAAACAAGAACTAAAGTAAATATCTTAGCGATGTAAGATAGATACTCTTCTCAAGATCAAATACAAGTTTGAACTTGAGGAAACACCAAAGAACTCTTGAAGATGCTTGAAAGTGGTGAATAACTCTCTCTCTTATGCTCAAAATTCACTAAACACCAGTGTCTCTCTTCGTCAGTGCATCAGTGCCCTGTGCACAAGTGTGCCAAGAGGTATTTATAGACACTGGAAACTGTAACCGTTGAAAAGAAGTTGAAACAACTGACGATCACTACCTCCTTTGGGTGAGACAATGTTTACTATCTCGGCTAAAGGAGGCAGTTCTAGCTAGTTTGTAACCATCATTCTACTACTTAAAGCACGTTAAATGTTGGGTTTCTCAAGGGTAGTGGGCGTATTTCACGACTATAACTATACATTAACGTTAATGAACATTTTCTAGCAGTTATAGAACCACGTGGACCCCGTAAAAAGTCACAAAACCATCAGAAAATATGAGAGGCTGTCTCACAGTTGGTGAGATAGCTCTCACCGTCTCGCGTATCCGAGACAGTGAACACTGTCTCTTGAATACACGAGACGGTGAATGCTGTCTCACAAACTGTGAGACAGCTCCAAGTCTTTCTGTCACGTTGTTTTGTGTTCTTCTTTGCTTCCTTTTGCTTTGACTACTTTTTTTTGACTTAGATGATGAAGTTCTTCGCTTCTCTCACTCTTGAGCTATTTTTGGGACCTATAGGTAATTTTTTATGCTTACAGCAAGCAGAAGTTATTACATAGGAGTTTCTGTGTGTGTTACTAAGGGAATTAATTTTGTTTCTTTGTAAAGAAGAGAATTACATGTGTAATGCTTATTCTTTTGTTTCTATTGAACGATTTAATGGAAATTGCAAAGAAATTTTTTTCCAGAGGCAAACATTAACAGTTAAGGCATTAACTTAGTAAAAGTCAAGATTTATTAATATGAATGACTAATAATACACTTAAGGCTAAAGCATTAACATCAAACAAGAATTATTGACATACATTGCTAATAGCTAACAACAAATGAGAATTATTGATATGCATTTCTTCAAAACAATTATACTTGATATTGTTGAGATAATCTCCCAAATTAAGAAATTGGTTCTACACTACAATAACCAGTTTCTCACTATCATTTTTTCATAGACAAAACCCATAAATCTCAATCGTATTTCAAACAAATAAAATATTAACTTTCTTCCTTTTTCCGCTCATATTTTCAAATAATATCCAGCACCATAATTTTACTAATGAAAATTAATTAAATTCAAAATCACTCAATTGATCTTCTTCTTAGAGATGGGCACAGTCTCCGTCGGTCGTCTCCTCTTGTGATCTCGAACTTCTAGTCCCCTTTTCATACTCAATAGGGTCATCGTCGCCTCGTTACTTTCCTCATCCTCAAAGGATGTCGGAGAAGAACCGCCAACATGGGATACGAATGCGGAGGCAGATGATTTTGGCACATCCTCCTTCGTCAACCGAGCCGAGCAACGTCGGTGACGAACCCCTTCCATTTGGGTGTTGTCTCCTTCACCCTTCTCCACATTACTGTTCTCGACCATTTTACTTAAATTTTTTCAGAAATTTTTAACGGATTTAATGGACGTTTGAGTGAAATTTAGGGTTTTGAATTTGAGTTCTCCAGATGACAGAGGTTTGAGCGAGAGAAGAGAGAAGAGAGAGAGAGAGAGAGGGTAGACAAGCTTTAGGGAAGAACGAGTTATGGCCAATTTTGGGTTTTGGTAAATATTTTTCTCTGTGCTGAGTTGGAAAGATAAATAGGGCTAAAACATAATTACTTCATGTATTGGGGGCTGGTCACACAAAAAATAATACATTTTCCCTTTGATCTTTAGTAGAAAAGTAAATCTCAACTAGTATTCATCCCGTGCTAAGCACGATATCATTACAGATTATTTTTGTGCATAATTTTTCCTCATCTCATTTTTTGTTTTGTCATGATAAATTTATCTTTGAAGTCCATCATATATAACCAATGAGGATATTGTTTTGTCATGATAAATTTATCTTAAACATACTTGAAGTTCATCATATATAACTAATGAGGATATGCTGATAGGTATTTGTTTGTAATTCATCATATACTTGAAGTTCATATTTAAACATAGAAACATAGATAATTAAACTCTTAACATAGATAGTTAAATCTCTTGCTTAACCCTTCAAGTAATGTATATAGTTGTGAAGCTCAACATTATGGATCTCTTAATCATTTAACCTAGCATTTAACCTGACAACTGGGATATATGATCTGATATATGCTCCTGTAAATATGTAGAAATTTTTGAATAAAATATCAAATGTTTACATATAGAGATACAAAAGATCAAATCTATTGCATTTACATTTAACAACTACAACAAAGATTTTATCCCAAAATTTTGGGGATAAGAACACAATTATACACATAAAAATCTAACTTTATTATGCCATCTCAAAATCTTACCAACATCACTATCATCTTGCATTAAAGTCAAAGTAAGGAGTGTAAGTAGTAACCACGTGAATGCGTATATTGAAATAATTCATGTTAGCTTATCTTCAATCCATAATATTTTCATGTCATCCACAATTCCAGCAAAATCCTTGTAAAGTATTTAGACCCGTACAAAGCACGGTTCCTAAAAGATTTTTTGTCCTTTTGTGTTTATTCTTTTACAGTCTTTGACATAAAATCATTCTACAAAAACATATAGATATTCATGATGCTAGAGAGGAACCCAAAGACCCGTATCTAAATTTCTTCAGATGTTTGACAATGTTAAATTCAAAAAAAAAACTATAGAAAGAAGGAACAGTGTAACAAATAACCCAAAGGATTCGACAATACAAAGGATAAATCTTCAAAAAATTATCGCACCACTGTTTGTGTAAAAAAATGTCAGCATCAACTTGTTGTGCAAATAAGTATAATTGCAATAATCTTAAATAACTAATTATGATTAGCCAAATGCACATAATGGCACAAAGCAAACTTTGACAAAAATGCACATAATAACGATGACAAAATCTTTTCTTAACTAATTACCACATCATTTTTGTCATTATGTGCGTGGAAAACAGGTAATGCTTTGGGACTAAGGAATTATTTTCATCTTTTTTTTTTCTTACACATGTTTGCCAATGAGATATTAGATATAATGGTGCTTGCCACATGAGATATTAGAATAGGTGGTGCTAATTTAGAGATAAAATGAGAAGTTTTCATGTGAAATAAGACAGTTCATGGGGTTATGTGCAACAACTCCTAAAGATCAGGGTTCAGTGTAATAAGAAAAGTTGATGGAGCTTACTACAACTCCCCAAAAGTCCATGGGGATTTTCTGTAATTAAGCCTAATATATAACAAAACTAACCAAGCCAACTGCATCAGAAACATTAGTTACTGAAGATCTAAAGAACAAAAACCTCTGTAGTTTCATGCGTTTAAATTACACTAAAGAACAAAAGTATATTGTGTCCAATCCAACCCAATTACTTGGTTGCCAAGAAAAATTACTCATTTACGTGACTTACTTAACTATAAAGATGGCATCAAAAGTCTGTAAATCCTTGCAAATATTGAGTTCCACTCTAAAAAGGCATAATGACACAATGTCCCCTATTTATACAAGGAAAATGATGCGAAAAATTAGTATATAATGCAAATCAATAGAAAAATCTAAAAAATGGACATCAAAAATGAAATGATTAGGATGCACCAAACGTTTCACCAGCAAAACTCTACCTAGTTAAGAAGCCCCAACACCTAATTCAACTGGACGAATTTTAATGAAATAAATGATCCCTAAAACACCCAGCAATAACTCATAAAAATCCCCGTTTTATAATTCAATCTATCCATAATCCAACGCGCAGTCATCAAATATCTATCAACAAAATTCAATCCGGTTGTTACGGTACATTTTTTCATCAGTGTCTGCGATCTTCTCTCGCTCTCTTTTTGGAATTTGGGGGCGATCTAAGAGGACGAGAGTTTCCTTTATTAATGGCTCTCGAACTTGGGGCGGTATGTGGTGGGGATGGGGTGGTTCTCAAACGGTTGTGGAGAAGTGGTGAAGAATTGTTCAATACGTGGATAATGAAAAGGTTTACTTTCCTTTGGTTATAAAGGAAAGTAGATGCGGTAAAATGAATTCAGACCATTTATTTCGGATCCTTCCCCGTAGCCTCCGAAACCGCTCTCGCATTTTCCCCATAAAACCTAACCGCTCTACCCTCTCTCAAATACTCTCATCCCCCACCCCCCTCTCTCTCTCTCTCTCTCTCTCTCTCAGATCTCCGTTTCGAGGAGATCTCGAGAGAAACCCTAACCCTAAAATGACATCGCCCCGCTCGGAATCCAGCACCAAAAGCAACCGCGTCCTCATCACCTCGTCGGAGCTCAGCCAGCACAACACCGCCTCCGACCTCTGGATCTGCGTCCAGGGCAAAGTCTACGATGTCACTCATTGGCTCAAATCTCACCCCGGCGGCGATCTCCCTCTCCTTAACCTCGCCGGCCAGGACGCCACCGACGCCTTCGTCGCCTACCATCCCGCCTCCGCCTGGGCCCACCTCGAACGCTTCCACGTGGGCCACCTCTCCGACTACAAAGTCTCTGAGGTCTCCACCGATTACCGCCGCCTGGTCAACGAGTTCGCGAGGCTCGGCCTCTTCGACCGCAAGGGCCACAGCGCCGCCCTCACCCTCGCGTTCATGGCCCTTCTGTTCGCGACCTCCGTCCGCCTCGTGCTCTGTTATCAGTCGTGGGCGGTCCACCTTCTCGCCGGTTTCTTGATGGGGTTTTCGTGGATTCAGTCTGGTTGGGTCGGCCATGATTCCGGCCACGTCTGCGGCCTCCATCCGCCTCGTGCTCTGTTATCACTCGTGGGCGGCCCACCTTCTCGCCGGTTTCTTGATGGGGTATTCGTGGATTCAGTCCACTTGGGTCGGCCATGATTCCGGCCACTACAACGTGATGCCAAGCAGGGGGCTGAATCGTCTGGTTCAGGTTGTTTCAGGCAACTGCATTGCGGGGATCAGCATCGGCTGGTGGAAGAGGAACCACAACGCCCACCACATAGCTTGCAACAGCCTTGATTTCGACCCGGACCTGCAGCACATGCCATTGTTTGCAGTCTCGTCCAAGTTTTTCAGCTCGCTCACCTCTGTCTACTACGACAGGAAGATGGTGTTTGATTCGCTATCGAGATTTTTCATCAGCTACCAGCACTGGACGTATTATCCGGTGATGTGTGTTGCTAGGGTGAACCTCTTTGCTCAGTCGATCCTCCTCCTCCTCTCGAACAAGGTGATACCCGGCAGGTGGCAGGAGCTCGTGGGCATAAGTGTGTTCTGGATTTGGTACTCTCTGGTTATCTCTTTCTTACCCAACTGGGGGGAGAGAGTAATGTTTGTGCTGGCGAGTTTTGCGATTACGGGGATCCAGCATGTTCAATTTACCCTGAACCATTTCTCCGGTGACGTTTATGTTGGGCCCCCGAGGGGGAACGATTGGTTCGAGAAGCAAACTGCGGGGACCGTGAACATTACTTGCCCATGGTGGATGGATTGGTTCCACGGAGGATTGCAGTTCCAGGTTGAGCACCATTTGTTCCCGAGGTTGCCGAGATGCAATTTGAGGAGGGTCTCGCCCATTGTTCAGCAGTATTGCAAAAAGCACAATTTGACTTATAAAAGCGCGAGCTTTATCGATGCTAATAGGAAGACTTTGGAGGTTTTGAGGAATGCGGCGATGCAGGCTAGGGATTTGGCGAATCCCATGCCCAAGAACTTGGTTTGGGAAGCTGTCAACACTCATGGTTGATTTAGATTTTGGATTGAAGATCTGAGGTCCAATCCTTTTCTTTATATATGTTTTTTGTTTTCTGATTTGGGCATTCTTTTTGCTATGTTAGATTCTTGATGTGCGAAAGAAATGCGTAGCTGTTTCATTATGTAAGTTGAATCTGATAGCAATGTTCACTGTTTTGCTCAGATATCTGGTATCTATCTATCTACTATTTGCTTTTGCTTGCATTTGCATTTATATTTACATTTCTTGCTCACTCAGATATCTGAGTATTGTTTTGAGTTTGATGTGAATGTAACTTGAATTACCTCGAATTCCATTTACGGGTTTGATCACTGAAGTAGAGTACAAGACGTGAATGATTTGAGGTTTCCACATTAACAATAGATGTTAAGATGTTTCCTGCAATGATCTCTATGTTTCCATCAAAAAAGTTGAATGATTTGAGGTTTCCACATTAAAAATAGACGTTTGTCTTTTCTCTAAAGTAGAGTACAAGACGTGTATTTTTTTAACAGATGTTTCATTAATTTATCAACATTATTAGTATTAGAGTCCTAAGGGTATTTTTGTCTACCGAAAGATTTTTCCGAACTCGTGCTGATTTATGCTCGTTGTCGAGCTGTTAGGGCTATTTTTTATTACTATGCTGCTTCGAGCTTGTTTAGCTCTATCTTCACATAATATTGTTCGGATTTCGAGTTGGTGGTGTTTTGGTTCCGTTTGGAGCTCAGATTGAGCTTTTGACGATGATGATGGTCAACTAAATAAGATTACAAACTGCTTTACAATGTTCATAATAAGATAATGCGTTCTTTATGACGTTATTAGAACGCAATCTGCGTGAACCTATACGTTTCAGTTGAGGCAATCATTTTTTATAAAAGACCAATGCTTAAGCCAAATTGTAAAAAATTTGTGTTCATGGATAGTTGATAGAAGGATTTTAGAAGATTTTATAATGTGAAATTAGCTGTTAAACTAGCCGTTATAAAATGATAAATATGGTAGTTGACACTTTTCTTTAAATTTGGCATATGTAACCAAACAAAAGAAAATGAAAACTTGCTATTTCTATAAAGTTATGAGCCCATTTTTTTATTTTGAACCAAACAACCAAAGTACAAAAAATAAGAACATTTTTACTTTTTGATTTCTCAAAACTTCTCATGTATAATCTTTTTAAGAAATACAAGAAAATCTAAAAGTTGAGTGTTTTCCTTTCCTATAATTTATAGAAATTTAACCAAACACCCCCAATAGGAGTGTTTGGAAACCATTGTGTTTGTCCCATTTTCGTTTTTTTTTAAAACAAAAAAACATTGAACCGTGTTTGGGAACTGATGTGTTTTTTTGAGTTGCCCCTTCACAAAATAGAGAATATATACGATTTTCTCAAAACACCTTTTGAGATCACCGTATCTCATTTTCCCCCAAAACCAACCCATACCCTTTTCTCTCCCTCAACACTAACACCGTCGCCACCCCTCCAAATCGACCAGCCTCCATGCCTCTAAGGATAAGGGCCAAGAAAGAAGAATTGATAAGGAAGCTGCTAAGGGGTTCCAGTTGATAAGAACAACATCGAAGGATAATATCAGGGTTGTTCTTCTGTAGAAGTCCCGGACATGTAAAGAAGGACTGTACATTATCACGCCCTGGCGTGATAATAAGGGGTACCGTTCTTGCTTTGGTTGCTTAGACTGTGGTTAATTTAGCTTCAGTACCTAGAGAAACATTGCGTGGTTAGAACTCTTCGGTGCCTACTACTCACATAAGGTGTTTTTCTATGCACAGGGGTTGCTGAGCTACCTAAAGCCAAAGCTGATGTTGAAGACACATCTTTTGGGCGCGGTACAATCGGTAGATGTGGAAAGCAATTGTCACTTTAGGTTGTTGTTTGAACTGTTCTTATTGGACTTAAAGATACTTTTGAGTACCGTCTTTTAGAACGGAATTGATTTTCAGTTTCTGTATTGGACAAATCAGGTTTATTTCTTGTTCATTTGGAAACAAATCAATTCAGTTTATCTTTTAATTCAATGTGTGGGAAACCGGTTTAATTTTTGGAGTATTATGACAACCTATTATTTGCTTGATACAATTACTTCTTATAATGAAAACCTTTTGCATGCGGGTAATCGCGTGTACAGCGTAAATTAATAAGAAAATCGGCAACATGTATGGCATAAACTCTTTGGTCAGTATCTCAAAGGTTAGAGTTGAGCGTCTGGTGTCTGATGGCTTATTTTAGATTCCCTGATTTTTCGACTTCAACGGTTATGTTTGAATGTATCAAGTGGAACAGGACCAATGGTGAAGAGATTAGGTGCAACAGATCTTTCGGATGTCTTAGAATTTGATACATATGATATTTGTGGGCCATCCTACGGAATCCTGGATATGGGTCAACAATAGTTTATGATCATTCATAACAATTACTCCGTTTATGCGGCACCTATATCTTATTCATGCAAAAATCTGATGTCTTTAGGGACATGTTCAAGCCATAAGCTGAAGTTGAGAATCATCCAAGAAGAATTAAAAACGTTAATCTGATCGTGGTGGGTGAGTACTACGGTAGATATGATGGCTTTCAGTTGCGGAACAACGTCCAGGACCATTTGCTGATACCTAGCAGGAATGCTGCGTATCGTCCCATAGGTACACCATGCCGGGTTCCACCTAGCTATGAATGGTTGTAGCTGAAAGACGAAACAAGTCTTAATGGATATTGGTAGAAGGTATGATTTGCTCATTTTCTTTTACCAGAGTCACTCTGGGCGAGAATCACTTAAGACAGCAACTTACATTCTGGAATAGAGTACCAAGTAATAGCAGTTGCTAAAACACCCCACCCCTATGAGCTTTTAGGACTGGTCGAAAAGCCCAGTTAAAGTATTTAATATTATGGGGATGTCTAGCCTGTCCAGGCAATGCCTTATAGGGCCAAATGAAAAGAAATCTGGACTCCATAAAACAGTTAGAGCTACTTTATTGGATCTACTCTGAACGTCTAGGGGCTATGAAGTTATTATGATCCCACTATAAGGAATTATTTTTGAGACGGAACGAATATTCTTTGAGGATGTTGAGTTTGGTCGGGGAGGAAAATAAAGGTTAGAACATTAGTTTTGAGAGGAATTGGCTTCAGAATCAATCCTACAGGTTAACTTTGATAATATTCAGGTTCCTTTTATACCTGTTTGTTGCTAAGAAGTAAATCCGGAATCTCAAATTGATAATGTTGAACAACTCCCGTTTCCAGAAGAACAAAACTCAAACAACCTCAGAAACAGTACCTTAAGGCAGACACGGAGAGACAGGCGAAATGTTATTCCGGTTGATTATATTATATTTCTCCAAGAACACTGAGCGAAAGATTTAGTAGAATGTTGGGAAGATGATCCAATCAACTTCTCTCTTACCATGAAAAGTTTCTAACTCTCAACGTGGATTGATTGCCATGAATGGAAGAGTACAAGTCTATGCAAGACAAATAAGGTTTGGGAACTTGTCCATTACCAGAAGGTTGCCCAAAAACAATTGGTTGTAAATGGATTTTTAAAACAAGGCGAGATGCATAAATGTAATGTGGAGAGGTATAAGGCACATCTTGTGGCTAAAGGCTATACTCAAAAGGAAGGATTTATTTACAGAGGCTTTCTCTCCGGTTTCATCGAAAGACTCTTTCAGAATAATCATGTACTGTTGCCTCATTATGACCTTGAGTTACATCAGATGGATCTTAAGACTGCATCTCAATTGGAGACATTGATGAAATGATCTATATGGCTGCAACCAAAAACTTTGTGTCAGTGAGACCCAAAGAATATGGTCTGCAAATTAAGAAATCCATCTAGATGGACTCAAGCAAGCCTCTCGTCAGATCGGTATCATAAGTATTAAAAATAATTAGCTCGTTCCTTGGTTTTGAGGATGAACATTGTTGTATGACTGTTGTATAATCACAAGTTTCAGTGGGAGTAAAGTACTATTTTTCTTTGGTTCTTCTGTATGCCCGATGAACATCTTGCTTTGCCACTAACTGATATAGGCATGTTGCACGAAACATGAGATTTCTATCAAAGAATTTTGATGATGAAGATTTAGGGACGCCTCTTTTATATTAGCGGATCCAGATACATGAGGATCGCTCTCGGGGTATTCTTGGATTATCACAAAAGAGGCTATATCGATAGGTATCTTAAAAGCGTTTTGGCATTGCAAAGATTGCAGACCAGGTGACCCTGTTGTAAAGGAGACAATTTTAGTCTCAATCAATGCCCTAAAGGTAACGCCTTGAATTCAGGGAACATGCAGAAGATTCCTTATTGCTTCGGCTGTTAGGAAGTCTAATGTAATGCTCAGGTATGTTACGCCGTCCGGGATATTACGATACATTGTTGGGATGTTAGGCAGATACTAAGAACCTGGTATGGATCATTGAGAGATAGCCAGTCAAAAGGGTATGAGGTATCTTCGCAGAAAATAAAAGATTACATGCACCTTCACATACAATGAAAATTCAGATAAATGTTAGGAGGTTCATTGGGACTATACAGATTTCTTGATTTTGCTGGATTGCCAAGATAGCAGAAAGTCTACATCAGGCTACAATTTAATATGTTAGCAGGAGGAGCCTATATCATTGAAAAAGTGTTCAAACAGACACTAGTAGTTCTCCACCTATTGTCAGCAGAATTGTAGACCTTGTTATTGAGGCATCATCAGGGAATATGCCTGCGAAATTGTACGGTTGCGTTATTGTGTGAAAATGTTGAAAGGACCACTAACGGTTACTTATGTATATAATCTACAGAGTCTTATAACAACAGGAGTAACTAGTCAAACAATATTGACATAAGTCTGTTCCACTGTGAAAGAAAGGGGACAGAGTGGACAAAATAATCTTTGGAGCCACATTGAGTATCAAAACTCCATGTTACTGTCCTTTACTTAAGGATTCTCTAGGTCTTTCATGAGCTACTGCTCATATGGGTGTGGTATTTTGAGGATTTATGTTTTGTGAGAGTTTGTTATTGTCGGTGCTTTATGTTTGGTTGTAGCTGATCAGAATAAAGTATTTACGTTAGAAGACACTATGTTCATTATGGTTTGGTTTTTGACTCCCTAAGGGAGGACCCGTGATAATATGACATGTACTTGTTCACTTTGCATGTAATTTTCATGCTGCACATCTCCATTGATTGCATCTATGTCGTTT